AAAAAAAAAAAAAAAGCTAAATTAAATTAACATTTGTGTTAGTTATGTGCATGTTTCTATATTTTACATGTTCAATCACACTCACATTGTAAGCTGTGCTAGATAATTTCTCTACATAACAGTATTATACATAAAACTGCTAAAAAAAAAAGGGACACCCAGTAATTTTTAGGAGGCAGTTATGGATGTTGAGCTGTGCCCTGTACTACGTTTGTGAATAATTTTACATGGGGAGATGAAAGAAACTGGTACATTTAAATGTTAGTAACTCCTCTAACCCCTTTTTTTGGTTTCCTCAGTATAGAAAAAGTACTTAAACTATCCAATAATTGAAAAGAAGCAAGCAAACAGCTTCTGTGCATTTCCTCCCCATTTACAACTGCCTAGGAGAATAATTAATAAAAGTATTTTTCAAAATAAAGGTACCGACGATGACCTGGAGTTCTACGTTCGCAAATGTGGGGAAATTCTGGGCGTGACTCCGAAGCTGGATAAAGACCAGAGAGACGCCAAGCACATCCTGGCGTACGTTTTCTCCCAGGTGGTAGAATTCAAGAAGCTCAACCAGGTAGGAGCAGCATAAACTCCGCTCTCCGTCCTTTTCCCATCCCTCCCTTATTTTTGACCTCCACTTCTCTGTGCAGGAACACGATCTGGACACAGAGACTCGGTTCCCTCCAGCGTGACCCAAAACCCGTCCGAGGGTTTAAACCGACTAACAAAGATGGTTTCCACGTGTGTTCGACACCTTTCTGCTTCGCATCGTTTTTGCATTTAATTGTTGGAACATATCAAGAATTAAATATACTCCTTTATTAGAACATTTTCATCTTAAAGAAGAATTAAAAACTCTTTACATCCCTTTTTAAAACGGATCCTCGTTAACTACTCCAGGGGGGGGAATCATCACTTATACCTGTAAGCCACAGATTTAATCCTTTCATTAATTTATCGTTATCCTCGTTAGCTGCTCCAGGGGGGGATCATCACTTATACCTGTAAGCCACAGATTTAATCCTTTCATTCATTTATCGTTCATGTTTGTGGAGTGTTTTGTCCAAAGGCCGGGGAAACCTGGAGCGAATGCGTCAGGTTTGGGCTCCAGGTTTGCTCCAGAGCGTTGATCCTGGGGCTGTTGCTCTCCGCTTTGATCAGAGACAAATCCCAGGAGATGTGAGAGGGCGTGAGGTCGGCGTAGGACCGGTCCAAAACAGCCGTACCACCTTTGGTCTTTTCGTTGAGGATTTGCGGGGTGGAGAACTTCCCCTGCTGGGGAACCGCCAGGCTGCCGCCGCCCTCCAGCTCCTGGGATTCGAACCCGCGGCACGGAGAAACGGTGTCCAGCGCCAGGCAGAAGGAGGCCAAGATGGACGCCCTGCTGTCGGCCATTGTCTCGTTTGAAGCTTTAGATGTGGAGAGCTGCTCCAGAGAAAGAGCAGAGAGCAGACTCTGCTCCCCAAAGAAGTGCCTGTCAAACTCAGACGGAGACGAGCACTCGAAGCTTTTCATATCTGTGTGGTAAAAAGAAAGGAAATGTTTTTTTAAAAAGGGTCAACAACTTTAGAATTGCCCGATTTCATTCAAAGTTTTTTTTTTTTTTTTTTAAAAAAGGGTCAAC